GATGTCTGTACTTCAGCAACCCGTACTATATTATCCTTTCCAGGGAATACCTTTCTCACGCGACCTATTTTCCATGTTATGGGTGGAGCGTTTTCATTTTTAATTAGAACTAAACTGCCTGGACTAAGCGACTGGCCTGGCATGAGCCATTTTGTTCGCTGTTGAAGCGTGTTTAAATATTCTCGGTGCCATCGCACCCAAAAATCTCGATGGAGGCGTAAAAGTAACTGATATCTATCAAGCCTATTTAATTTAATTTGAGATAAATCAGGATCAGGTATACAAGAAAGCGGTTCTAGCGTTAAAAAGTGACCTGGAGTGAGGACTGTGTAATCATTCGGATCAGAACTTTGCGGACAAAGCGGGCGTGAATTTAATAAAGATTCAATTTGTATTAATAAAGTATTCATTTCTTCATATGTTAAACATTGTGACCCAATTACACGGGAAAAATGTGTTTTAACAGATTTTATTCCAGCCTCGTATAAACCTCCAAAATGAGACGCGGATGGCGGGTTAAAACTCCATTTAATGTTTTCTTTACCAGCGGATTCTTGAAATATTTTTCTTAAATACTTATTAGCTCCGGAAAAGTTAGTACCATTATCTGAGATTATTTCACTGCATCTGCCTCTACGAGCTATGAATCTACGCAATGCACATAAAAAATTATCGGTAGATAAATCAGATGCCAGCTCAATATGAATGGCCTTGGTTGTAAAACATACGAAAATACATATATAACTTTTAACTAACTTAGCGTTGCGAAGTTTACTTGTCTTAATTAAAAACGGACCTCCAAAATCAATTCCTACAATAGAAAAAGGTTTAACTTGCGAAATTCTTGTAGCCGGTAGATTACCCATAAGAGGTTGAAGAGATGAGGGATTCGAGCGGAAACATGAAATACATTTAGAAAGAACATGCTTGATTGCGCGACGAGCGGATAATATCCAAAAATTTTGCGATAATAAATATTGAGTAGTTAAAAGCCCTGGATGCAAATTAGATTTATGTATATGCTCTATAATTAATTCAGTTAAACGAGAGTTGCGCGGTAGTATTAATGGATATTTCTTTTCGTAATTTAAAAGAGAATTTTTGAGTCTACCCCCAACTCTAAAAAATCCATGTTCGTCTACAAAAGCTCCTAATTTTCGAAAAGGTTTAGACATTAAAACTTTATTAGAATAATTTTCAATTTCTATATGAAAATGTGTATACTGCACATGCTTAATGAAAATTAACAAAGCATTATTTAAATCATGCGCGTTCAAATTTGAAGTATTTTTCGCTTCAGGGTTTTTTATATTATAAATAAACTTTTGAATATAAGCCATTATACGTTGTAATTTTGGAAGAGATGAATATTTCATTATTATTGTATCAAAAAAATCAATTTTATTACGCGATATCAGAGTGATTTTTCTTTCTTCCCGATTTACCTCGTCGTTTTGATTTAAATCAGGCGTAAGAGGAAAAAGATTTAGAGGCCATTGGCTTTGAGGTTTTTTAAGAAAATCGGGTCCTGTCCACCAGGTAGAACACTGGACAAAGTCAGAAGGAAAAATACCTCTGCTTGCAGGATCGGCGGCGTTATTACTCGAAGATACATGTAACCAATGTACATTGGGTAATTCTTCTTGTATTACGGCAATTCGATTAGCGACAAAGGGTTTAAAACGATGTGGCGAGGACTGAAGCCATTGTAATACAATAGTAGAATCGGTAAAACCGTAAATATTTTTGAATATAATTTTTGACGAATAAGTCTTAAGAACAAATGAAAATAAACGCGTAAGAAGTAACGCAGCGCAAAGTTCAACCCTAGGTATGGAAATGCGTTTTAGCGGAGCGACTTTTGATTTAGCACATAACAGCGATGTAGTTATATTAAATTGTGACACAAGACGCACGTAAATACAGGCGGCATAAGCGTCTTGAGAACCATCACAAAATCCGCATAATTCAATAAATTCGAAACTATTAGAAAAAAGATAACGAGGTATGCGAACTTTAAGCAAATCTGGTAACTGAGATTTATATAATTCCCAGCGTTTAATTATTTGCGGCGGAGGTACATCATCCCAATTTAATTTAAGCGACCAAAGGTTTTGAATTAATAGTTTTGAAAGTAGCGTAACAGGGGTTAAGAAACCAAGAGGGTCATATATGCGAGCGAGTTCTGATAGCATATTACGTTTAGTACAAGTTACATTAAATGACGTAACAGAATAAGAAAAACTATCTTCAGTTGGATTCCATTTAAGTCCTAAAATTTTTACAGTTAACGCAGAATCTAAATCAAAATTTATGCAATTCTTAAGTAAAAGATGTTCAGGAATAGTCTTTAAAAAATCATTATTATTGCTAGACCATTTTCTTAATTCAAATCCACCTTTTAACAATAAATTTGATAATTCATATTGAAGATTAGTAGCTTCTTGCACTGTGTTACACCCTGTACAAATATCATCCACAAAAATATTATCAGAAAGAAGAATTTTTGAAGCGTGAGGAAATAATTCCTTTTCGTCATTTGCTAATTGATTAATAGTACGTAACGCAAGAAAGGGTGATGAGTTAACTCCGAATGTTACAGTTTTAAGTACATATTCTTGTACGGGTTCCTCACTGGAAAAGCGCCAAAATATTTTTTGGAATTTATAAAATTTAGGATTTAGTTGGATCTGGCGATACATAGCTTTAATATCAGCAGTTATTGCGATAGCGTATAAGCGAAAATTTAATAAAATAGCGGAAATGTCCTTTTGTAATTTAGGTCCTTTCAGAAGACAATCATTAAGAGATATATGATTAGAATCCTTACAGGACGCGTCAAAAACTATGCGAATTGGACTTGTTACAGAGTGTGGATTAAAAACGCAATGGTGCGGTATAAAATATTCATTATTATCGATAGTCTGATCAGCTAACTCTAAATGTCCATTGTCAATATATTCTTGAATTATATTACTGTACTGAACCTTTAATTCGGGGTTTATTTTAAGTTTTTTCTCTAAAGAAAGAAATCTGCGAAGTGCGGGTAATCTTGAATTTTCGAAAAAAGGCTCGATATTATTTTTAAATGGAAGCGAAACAACATAGCGACCGGAATCTAAACGAAACGTCGTTTTTGTATAATAATCTTCACAATAAGTATCATCGTCCGAATAAAATTGTTTATTATTTATTTCTTCAAGAGCCCAAAACTTTGAAATTACATTTTCTACGTTTTCACAATTAAATTTAGTAAAAAAAGAGTTTGATAGAGAGTATGAGGACGAGCGTGAAGAAATATCTCCCATCAAAATATATCCAAATAATGTATTTATTGCATCTGGCACATTAGAATTTAGCGCGGGAATTTTACCATCAAGTAAAATTTTATTAAACACCGAAGCGTTCAGTATCATATCGACAGACTGACTAATATTAAATGAATGATCGGCAAGATTAATATTTTTTATATGTTCCCAATCTGATATATTAAAATTACATACCGGCATATTCGATGTACAGACTTGATCCAAAACAAGAGCTTCTATAATTAGCTGAGGGGACTCTGAATTTAAAGGTACAATTACGCCTTGTACAATACCACTATCACTTCGCGTTTTCATGGTACCGAGACCAAATATATCAATTATTTGTGGACGCACTGATAAACCTAATATATTTACACATTTACGAGAAATATAACAGGCTTCGCTGCCGGAATCTAATACAGCACGCATAATTTGGTAATTTCCAAAAGCATCTCTAAATCTTAAGCGAATTGTAGGCAAAAGATCGGAAAACGGCAGTGTATCGATATTTATTTCGGTTTGTTTGTTTATATCGCGTTTGACACCGAAAATACACACTGAAGGGCTAATTTCGTTTGGCGTACTAGATAAATCAGATGTAGAAGTAGGAACAGGGCCGGACTTAGAGTCGAGCGAATTTTGTGTAGCGGTAATTGGCGACGAATTCGAAAAATGAAATAAAGTGTGATGGCGGCGTTTGCAAGTACGGCATGATGATTCCGAATTACAGTTTGATGTCTTATGTATATTGCTTAGACAATTAACACAAAGTTTTCTATCTTTAGCCAAATTAAAGCGTTCGATTGGGGTTTTATTAAGTAATGTAGGACATGTATATATAGCGTGAGCGGTTGAATTACATATTGCGCAATTTTTCAAGTTATTTTTGTTAGCGGGAGAAGAAGTAAAAAATGCGTTGCTCTTATGAAAAGAAGTATTATGACGTTGCGAATTGCGTAGCGTAGAATTAATATTGCGTTGACATTTACTTTTAATATTTTGCGGGTTAGATATAGCGGAAACTGAAGAATTTAAATCTCCATTGTAAGTTATTGTTTCATATGCGGTACAACATTTTTCTACATAAGCTAGAATGTTATTAAAGTCTGGCATTTCAGAATTAGAACCAAATTGAGTTTCAAAAGAGGTAACTACTGAAGACGGTAAGCGTTTTAAAAACATGTTTGCGAGAATAAAGTTCCAAGAATCTACTGGATAGTTAAGATTTTTTAAAGCGGCGATATTTTCATTAAATGTATCTAAAAGAGTTCTTAATGCGGGGGAGTCTGATGAGTTAATACGAGTAGAATTTTCTATCTCATTCCAATGGTAAGTTGCTAGTAGTCTTTTACTTGAATAGCGAGATTTTAGAGCTTGATAAGCAGATTCAAAATTTGACGAAGTTAATGGAAATCTAGCAACCAGTTTCTTTGGATCACCCTCTAGGGAATTAATTAAATGAGAAAACTTTTCGATCGGCGATAAATGAGTATTATTATATATTATTGCATTAAATACTTCTAAAAAAGATGTAAACGATTTTAAGTCACCCGAAAAAACAGACAATTTCATTTCCGGAAGTTTCGGTCTTGGTAAATCATGCGTTATATCACGGCTCGTAGATGGACTAGCGCTCTGAGATTTTTCAAATATATTATAATAAATTGCCTTAGTAGAAAAATATTTACTTTCAAATTCTTTGCGTATTTCATCCTCAACTGCGAATTCCTCATCCGATTCAAGAAGGGAACAAATTATATTATGTTGCTTAGCAAATGCGTCACTAATTGTATCAATTGTGCGATATCTTTGAATAAATTCAGGTTGTATATTGGTATCCTTTTGAGCTTCAGAAGCAATTTGCCAAGTGTCACGAATACGATTTATTTCCGTATTTCGCAAGGTTTTGGCCTTTTTTAATTTATCTACTTCGGAACTTGAAGGCGGCATATTTATTTTAATAAGAAAATTTTTACTAAAAAAAGCGAATTAAAATATTTAAAAAACTAAATTATATTATAAATCAATATAATACTGACCTGCAAATTATAGGCAAGTACAGGTATGTGCGGAAAGGGATAAACAATGCGAAGAATGCGTATAGCGTGCAAAAAAATTAAAAGGATAAGGCGTAGTACGGCGTTGCTCAGGTACTTTAAATCAAGAACTGACCAAATTTTAAATGACCTTGTCCTTTAAAAATATATTTTATTAATAATTTTGCAAATTTATATGAAATTATAGAAATAATCTTAATTAAAAATCCG